AGGGAAGGGAAGGGAAGGAAAGGAAAGGAAAGGAAAGGAAAGGAAAGGAAAGGAAAGGAAAGGAAAATAGAGAAAGAGAAAAGGAAAGGAAAGGAAAAGGAAAGGAAAGGAAAGGAAAGGAAAGGAAAGGAAAGGAAAGGAAAGGAAAGGAAAGGAAAGGAAAGGAAAGGAAAGGAAAGGAAAGGAAAGGAAAGGAAAGGCGGCGAAAATGTTTATATTGTCATTTCTCTTTCTCTCTCTTTTTTTAAACGTATATTTAACTGAGAATCCAATAAACTAGACGTTTTTGGCTCCTTTCTAATCTCAACTGAAGTATCTTTATCATTATTTTTATTATTATTGTATTTTTTTTGTTGTTGTTTCTGACGGGAGATAGATAAGAGGTTACTTGCACGTCAAAATGTTCCCTTAAGTGGAGGCAGGGAGGACCGCATTTCCTTCCCAGTTTGGGCTCTATAAATCCCAGCAGTCTCTCAGGACACTTTTCCGCCTGGAAATCTTGGAGGGGAGGAAAAATAGGAATACTTGGGGGCCGCTCCCTGGGAGCGTGGGGGTCAGGACAAGGACAGCATATGCTGGAAAGCTGCATCCTGGGAAGGGAATATATGGGGCGCAGACACTGCTGGACACATGGGAAGAGCAAGTGGCGGCGGGGAAAGGAAAAGGGCTGCTGGTGTCGGAGGTGCAGGGCTGCATGAATATTCCCTGCATCTTCTGGAGCTCCTCTCGGCTGAGAAGGGACCACACTTCTCCACGAATTAAATCCTCGCATCCTGCCGACAAGGAGTGAACAGCAGTGGCACAATTCACCTACTTTCGGGAGAGGCTGTGAGAGGCTTTAACCATTTAATGTCAGCGGCAGGGAAATACTGAAACAGCCTGAGGTTGTCGTCAGTAATACCTCTGCCTACCTTCCTTCCATGCATTATCCATCCTATCTACCTATGTTCTTTCTATCTGTCTGTCTCTCGCTCTCTCTCTCTAACTATCCATCTGCCTGCCAGCCTACCTACCCACTTACCTACCTATCTATGCTCCCATACATCTATTTATCCATCTGGGGCTGTAAAACCCTCTCCGGAGGCGGCAGATCCCCTTCGGAGCTGCCCGTGGCGGCTGGTGCGGGATTTAATGCTGCACAGAAGGACCAGGATGATGCCGCAGCATCCAGCTCCGAGGAAGAAAAAAAAATACTCTGGAAAAACAAACAAAATCCTACATTTTGGGGGTTGCTTCTCTGCCATGTCCAGCCCTGATCGGAGCCTAAACGCGAGATTCATAAGGTTAATGCTGCAAATGTGAGGGCGCGTTGCATTTTTTTAAGCCGTATTTATTGGTTCTTTAGTGGCCCCGCAATGATTATTTTGCAGCCGCTACAAAACAAACCCAAGCAGAGGCCAGACATGTATTTACGGGGAGGGGGGAGGGGAGGGGAGGCCGAATTG